GGAAGCCCAAAATCTCTGTAAATGTTTATGAAAATTAATAAAATATAATTATAGAAAAAAAAAAGAAACCAAGTTCCATGAGATATTTAGCTGTACATAAGCAACGCCAGCAGTTACTCTTTTGTCATTGTTCTAAACATAATCTACCACACAATTTTTCCCAGTTCAACTTTTTAGAAGTATACAACTTATTGACAGCAATTACTTAAGGAGTTGTGCTGTCAACTCAAACATGAGATTAAATGCATCCATTGCTCTGCAGGAGAAAAGAAGAGTAAAAGATCCTCTCATGTAATTAACTGCCTCTGAAAACCTGCTGGATGGTCAGCTATGAGTTGGTTCCAACTTGACAGTATAATTAGAGCAATTTGAAAGATAAGAAGTTACAAAATAAGAGGGCAGAAGAGAAGATTTCAAAGGGTAACTCAAGAAAACAAAGCAAAATATTATAATAAAACCTGGAATTAGAAAACCAAAAGGAAGAATACCTTCAGCAATTCTCAAGCTAAAAAGAACCGAAGAAGGGTGCTCTGGTGGCCTAGTGGCAAAAAGCTACACTGCTATCCCAGAGGCCTGCAGTTCGAATCCACCAGATGTTGTATTGGAGAAGGAGGGGCAATCTCCTTCTGTACCAGTTGGATATGGTAGAAACACAATAAAATAAATTTTTTTTTAAAAAGAACATGTAAAAAAAACCTGAGAAAATGTAAGAATCAAGTTGCAATAATGAAGTTTTCTAAGAGCAAAACAGTAAATGACATAGGAAATAACAAAAGATAATGGAAGGAATATACAGAGCTACTGTACCATAAGGAATTGGTTAATACTCAACCATTTCAGGAGCTAGCATGTGAGCAAGAACCAGTAATATCAAAGGAAGAAGCCCAAGATGCATTAAGGGTATCAGCAAAACAAGACCAACGTAAGATCCAGAAATCAACTGATATATTTCAACAAGCATATGCAAAGCTGATGTGCTATTTTACAACCAAGAGATCTGTATTCGTTCCCATTTCAAAAAAAGGTGTTTCAGCAGAATACAGAGCATTATCATATAAAAGTAAAATACTGAATTAAAACAAAGGAGTGAATCAATAGGGAACTACCAGAAATTCAAGGTAGATTTAGAAGATGACAAGGGATGTCACCAGATGGATCTTGGCTGAAAGCAAGTATAGTGTATGATTTACAATCAGGAAAGGTGTCTGTAAGGGCTCTAACCTTTCTCAATACTTATTCAATCTATATGCTGAAAAAAATTACCTGAGAAGCTGAACTTTATTAAGAGGATTGGGGCATCAAGATTGGGAAAAAACTCATCAACAACCTGTGTTATGCAGATGATACAATTTTGCTTGCTCAAAGTGAAGAGGACTTGAAACACTTGCTGCAGAAGATCAAGAACTAAAGCCTGACCACTCTGGAAGACAGTAAAAACAAAACAAACACAAAAACCTAAAGCCTTCAATATGGATTACATCTATCTCAACATCAAGAAAACAAAATTCCTCAACACTGGGCCAACATGATAAATGGAGAAAAGAGTAAGTTGTCAATTTCATCTTGCTTGGATCTACAATCAACATGCTCATTGTTAGCAGTCAAAAAATCAGAAAATGTATTACATTGGGAATGTCTACTGTTATGGAACTCTCCAAAGTGCTGAGGAGCAATTATGTCAGTTTAAAGACTAAGGTGCACCTAATTTAAGCCATGATTTTTTCAATACTTGCTATGTAACTGAGAACTGGGCAATGAATAAGAGCAACAGAAGAATGGCTAATTCTGAATTGTGGTGTTGGAGAAGAGTACCAGGGGCTACCAAGAGAACATACAGGCCTGTTTTGGAAAAGGTGAAACCAAGAAGTAAGGATTGTGAAACTTCATCTCCCATATTAAGAGCATACTGTAAGGAGAGGCCAGTGCTCAGAGAGAGACATCATGCTTGGAAAGGTCAGTGAAAAGGAGGAAGACAATAAGATGGACTGATACAATGAATGATTGAAACAATAAACTCAAGTATATCAGATGATGCACTTAACAACATAAAGAGAGACCAGCTGGCCTAGTGGACCAAAAGTGATGCTACCAAGCCAAAGGTGGGTGACTCTAATCCGCGGTGCTCAGGCCTGTTTACAATTGGTTTTGGTCAAACATTCTTGTAGGTCATATAGCCCTGGTGTGTCCACCTGACGTACAGAAGTAACTTCTGATTGCTGTGAAGCTGAACACTGTGACATTGATGTGTTAAATGGTTACCCATGGTGGACAGTGTCTGGTGGAACTCCCCAATTAAAACAAGCTTGGAAGCAGGAGTGGCGGCCACTTCCATAGACAGCTTGCCTGTGGAAACCCTATGAACCTGGAGAAAGGATGAAAGTCACGCAAGTGTCAAGGACTTTCGTTCATAGGGTCTCTATGAGTTGCCTATGACTCCACGGCACTTAACAACAACAGTATCAGATAATGAAGATGGCAATTATAGTGCAAAGTTCATATCCATTTATTCATAGGACGGCTATCAGTTGTACTTGACAGCACATAACAATAGATATAGGTAGATAAGAAGAGACAGAAAAAGACAGTGTACAATCACCCATGAGTACTCGGATCTTCTGGATGGAGTGAGTGTACATATTCTTTTTCTTTTGTCTTTCCTTTATAGGGGTCAGCTTAAAAATTCAAGCTAATTTGAAGGCTGGCCAAAAGGATGACAAATATCCTTTTAATAATATAAGAGTAGTGCCACGGAATTTAATCTGGTGAAGTAACTTATCATCCCTCCTCTTTCTAAAATATTAAGGCTTATTCCTATTCTTGTCGATTTTCCTTCTAACTGGTACGTCCACACAGTACTTAGCATTGTTCAACAAAGGACAGAGGGCTCAAATCTGTGGGCTGAATTTAAAAAACAAACCAAAAACAACTATGAGGTATCATCTTACCCCAGTAAGACTAGCAAAATTTAACAGAACAGCAAACAACAAATGCTGGCCAGGTTGTGGAGAAACTGGAACCCTTATTCACTGTTGGTGGAAGTGTAAAATGGTGCAACCACTGTGGAAAGTGGTATGGTGCTTTCTCAAAAAGTTGCAAATAGAGATACCATTTGACCCAGAAATTCCACTACTGGGAATATACCCCAAAGAGACCCTAACTGCCACCCAAGCAGATATATGCACACCCATGTTTATTGCAGCTTTGTTCACAATAGCAAGGAGTTGGAAACAACCTAAGTGCCCATCAACAAACAAAAGGATAGAGAAGTTGTGGCATATTCAAACAATGGACTACACTGCATTGAAAAACAAGGAACTCATGAAAAATTATTTAAAATGGGTGACCCTGGAGGACATTATGCTGAGTGAAGTATCTCAGTCACAAAAGGACAAACACTGCATGGTGCCACTGTTGTAAAACACGTCTGGCATCGGGGTTGTGGGGAGACTGAGAAAAATGGGTTCAATAATGTATACTGCATTGAAACAGATGAGGGGGAAAACTGTTTAAAAGGGATATGTGATTAGGTATTTTAGTCATGACGGGAGTCTAGAAAATAAGGCTGCAAAGGGGAGTGGTCATGGGGGAGGGATTGTAAAACAATCAAAGACATTTTCTTTTACTTTTCCAAAAGGGTAGTATACTAGGGGGGAGGGTTGGGAGGGGAGAACAGTGCAACAATGAATGGAAACTCAAAGTCTCTGTAAATTTTCATTGAAATGAATAATAAATTTTAAAAAGTTGCAATTAAAAAATTTAAAAATTAAAAACAAAAAACTTAACCAAATGAGCACTTATGCCTCTACAAACTGACCATCAGGGAGGCTGAAACTATTCAAAATGGCTGGAAGCAAACAAGCAGGTTCTGTGTTTGCTTCAGAGCCTGTACATTTAAGTCGGTAAGCTAGCTTAATTTTCACTGATATTGTCTGGCCATCATGAAGCTTGGCAATTTGGCTCGAGGCATTTATTTGCTAAACTCATAGAAGCTCTGGATTCTAGTTTCCCCAAGACCACCTAGTCCTTCCTCTTCCAGCTGTGCCATGAAGCATGGGTGGTTGTCAGAGATGGCCCTCTTCTAGGCCCTTACCATTTGATGATGTTGTGAACCAAAGGTAAAAAGGAAAAGTTCTCCTCCTCTTTCACGGAAGCGGGTGACTGCGGCCTTGGAACCAGCGACTGCTGTTGTGAAAGCCCACAGACCGGGGTCGGTGGCGGGGGAAGCGGCAGTGGTTTTATTTCTGGTAGTGATGGTTCGACTGGAGGGGGCAACGCATCCTCCGCCTGACGCCCGGCAGCCACTCCAGCAGAGGCCATAACATTCGAGGACAAGAGTGAAGGTTTCTCAAAAAATCACGAAGACGTTTCAAGCACCTCAACGTCGTAAGCTTTCTACGTCACCACCGAGCGCCTCCCAGAAGGCTTTACCTGCGCGCGCAGGCGTACAGAGGGAGCCCCTTGCTCCCACCCCTCGGGGCGGTGCTAGTGTGGCTTGCAACGGGCTGTTGGGTGGGCCGGTGCTAACCACTTAAAGGACACGCCCATCCAGCAGTTGGACCTATACCAAGACTCCTGATGAGAAAGACGCGGCAGCATTTCTGTGATTTGATTTATAGCTTCAGAAAACCAATGGAAAATCGCTATGAGCCGATTCGGAGTTTCTCACAGTAAGGAGGTTTTTCTTTTTTTCTTTTCAAATTATACTAGTTTATTTACAAAATTCGAATACTTTGTTTTCCAGAACAGATTTGTCCAATTCCCCTCAACCCCCCCACCCATCAAATTGTACAACTCCAAGATTAATATTCCCCTCCCGCTGCACATCCTCATCCCTCTGTTTCCACCCCCCCTTGGATCCTTATATTCATTCTACAATAATGTTGTTGTTGTTGTTATGTGCCGTCGAGTCCTTTGCGACTCATAGCG